AAGAGTGTTCATTCGAGAAGCTGTCTTTACTTTAGTTGGAAGATAGACGATAAAGGACACATCCACGAAAAAACGTATTTTTTCCACAGAACATATTCGTTCCTTCATTGAGTCTGCTGCTAATTTTTTAAATAGCCAATAACAGCTTAATATTTAATGTCCATTAAATGTGCTTTCTACATCTTATTCCTTTATTAACATTAGAAGTGTTATCCTGACCGTGGCCTGACTAGCAAGACATACTTCTATTTTGGAAGGTGAAAGGGAAGAAAAATAATAATTAAAATGGACAGTAGGCCTCAAAAAAAAAAAAAATCTAAAGTCATGGCATTAGGTTAATATTCACTGCTGGTTATTTAAAAAACATTTTCTCAAATTTCTTGGGACTGCTCTCTGACCTCTGGGAGAATCCAAAGGTGCTATAAGTGCAGCTGTGATGCAGAAAATAGTGATCTTCCTTCTTTCATAAAGCTGAAAGGAGCCAACTGGCTAAGATCATTATTTGGCTAATAAGTTTCCACCTCCTGCATATCTTGCTAATAAACAATAATTTTTAAAAAAATCAGTGAATATCTAAGTTGCATATTAGAAGGGAAGAAACATGTGTAACTAACAAATCTAAAATTACTAATTAGAGGGCAGAGCAGTAACTCCAGCTCTTGCTCACAGGCAACACCCTTCTTCCAAGACTACCTGACAAAGCTTAGCTACTGATAACAAATAGTAATGATGAAGGTCAAATTGGAAGCTAATGGAATGGTGAAGTACAGTGAAGACTGTTGAATGTTGTCAGCTTAAGCTTTCGGCATAGCCCATTAAGGCTGTGGACACTGCTTGGATATCTTTTGATTTACTTTGAGAGGAGTTACAAATTTTAAAATCTTTGAGAGGAGTTACTAATTTTAAAATCCCACCACCCTGTCACTGATTTTGGCTTAAGCCAATACGCTCAGCTGTGAAATGTAGCAGCTGAGAAGTCAACTCATATTTGCTACTCATGTTCTTGCTAACCTGGTTTTTGCCTGCAGCTGGGTGCAGCAGCTTCTCTGGGGGACACTGGAGTTGGTTTCACAATCTAAACAGACCCTGCTACTGAACAAAATGGATCTGTAAGGTAACTCTTGCTTAAAGGTGCATAAACTTATCCCTCTCCCATAGTCTAACCTAGCTAAAAAGCAAGACAGCAGGATCACCACCCCAGCAGCAGCATGGACCTACTTACGTTAAAGCCCCATCCTGCAGAATAGGGATCCAGCAGCATAGCCAGTCCCAATTCAACGCATTTACATGTCTTATATACTGACAGTGGCCCAGAACACACTCACAAACTGCCATCTTTTGGGCTTCATGTAAAATGCTGTGGCTGAGATTTTTAAAGCATCGTCCTGGAGATAATTCTCCCATGACATGAGTTCCTAACCACTCAAGATTCCTTTGAAAACCCTCACCTATTTGCACAAAGTTAGAAATACCAGTTTGAAAGCTTGCAGCAGCATTTCCTATCAGTGTGACACTGTATACTAAAATCTGTTCATTGAGTCCTCAGTCACCTTGACATTAACTGCCCTTCTCAGGCAGAACAGAAGTGGTAAATTAACGCCTGAAGATACCTGCAGTCCAGCAGGGGCTGCAAACGTGAAATATCAGATAAAAGGAAACTGCTCTTTGGTGGCACCAAGTACTTCTGCCCCATTAACACAACTATCTTTGCATAGTTTGAGTTGTTTTCTGTAACACATGAAAGCAGGTCTTGCTCTGGAATGGCGGTTTCATCATCTAGCACATGTACAGCTTGACGGTCACTTTCATTCACAGCTGGAAACTGCTTTGCCATCTCACATAATTCAGCCAACCCACAGGCAAGGTGGCCAGGAACAATATCCTTCCTGCAACTGAGTTCTGCAGAAGCACGGTGAAGAAAACCACTTTTGAGTCCTTCTTGGACTAAATGTAAAGTGCCTTCCCAAATAAGCTTCCTGACCTGTAAGGTCAAAAAGAAACAAGGGAAAAAGAAATGAGCTTTCAAGTATCTACTTGATCAGAGTACAAGACTGAAACAAAACCATTTTAATCTGCAGAGTGGGAGAGGGATCCCTGCTAAATACCGAGATTGACTCAAAAGCTACAATGGCATGCTAGTGAGGTCATGCTAAATTTTGTTGTTGGGCTTTTTTTGGTAAAGTGGCAATAACTAGATACCTGAAGAAAGAGTGAGAGACTACTGAATAAAACATTTCACAGATAATAGAGGCAGAACATTATTGTTCCAAACCAACATAAATTTCAAAGCAATAATTTGAAGTATAAGTTCAAATTCTAATCTAATTTCAAGTTACTGTGCCAATACACACAGTATTTTTCCACATTTTAATTCACTTCAAAAAACAATAGTTCTTGCATTTTAAAATAATATGGAAGTACAGTAAATAAATCAATTTAAATTATTAGAATTTGTTTTTGCAACTTTTCTAGGTGACATATCTCTCAAATAGTCTTCCTAGACTCACTGGCAGACAAGATTCTTGGATCTATATACACCCTCATTCACTTCAGTACCCTCTCTTTGCAAAATTTAGAGGCCTAGTTTATTCCCAAATCATTAAGCCTTTATGAGTTTTAATTACCAATGAGGCATTTTTGTTCATTTAGAATAGCAACGTTGCCAGTTACAGTGGGTTTATCAAAGGTTTCAAATACTTATTATGATTTCTAAAGCTCTTGATTATGAAATCCTCAACTTTACAAGATGTTTTTACTTAATACTTTCAATTACAAGTTCCAAATTAATGGGGGGAGGAATTTTTTTTCATTATTTCTTTAATAGTGCCACCACCTAGATATTTGAAGGGACAGAGTCATAGTTTTTTAGAACCTAGGTTTGTGATAAGTTTGTACTGCTTTAACAGAATTAATAAATGTATCTTTAGAAATGCTACAAGTTGTACAGCTGAATTAATGCAGATAGCTTTTCTTCTTACACCCATGTGTTAATTTGCAGGTGGACAAAGCCTCTTGATTATCAAGCAATTTAAGCAGCAGTTATAACAACTGGTTGCTTAAGGAATTTAGCACATTTTGTACTGTTCACTATGTTGACTCTGACTGAAATTCACAAAGGGATTCAATGCTTACCTTCACTGTCAGACACAATTTATTTTTTTTCTGGAAAACTATTCTAAAGATATGAATAAGTGCCAAAATAATCTGAATTGGCTAGCCAACCTTTAACACCACAAATATCATAAAAAACAATACTTCTAATCTGTGAATGGTGTCAGAGGCTAATGGGGATCATAAATTTTTCAAAACTGTCTTTTTTGCATATTCAACAAAAATCACTTGATGTTACACAGGCCTTCAAGACATCAAACTACTTCTCTTAGTTTCTTCCCTTATTCCTATTGCTGAATGACTTCATTTTAGCTTAAAGCTTTTGATACTCATAAACCTATGTTTGATGTTGAACTTCAAATTCTCTCCTTTAAAGGGATTCCACACACGCATAGCTTATTCACAACAATCGTTACAGGACCTCTACACTGTATCATAGCAAACTGTACATTTTTACTACAAAACTGTTGCCATGTAAAAGAAAAAAAATTTAGTCATTTAAATATATTCCAAGAGGAACAGTATTAAACCAAAAGCCCAATACAACTAACACCTTTATCAGAGGAATGAAAGCAACCATAGATCCTAGTCCAGGTTCACATCACTATTTAGGAAAGAAGTAAGAATACAGCAAGCATTATCCACAGATTACATTTCCAGAATTTACTAACATCCTACAGAGTAATTCAGTTGTAACTTCAACAGTACATCACTGAAGTGAGCCTAGAGATCTGAATTCTAATTCATTCACGATGCTTCGGTATGACAATGTAAAATATTAGAGGGAATAATCCTTTCTCACTAGCAGAAGTGAGACATCTTGGAGCACTTTTGCTCAGAGAAGCTTTGAGTATCACAGTGTCCTGATATACTAAAGACGAGTTGATTTTCAGAACAGGGTATCCTGTTTATTTCAAATCAGTCACTTCCTGTTCAACTAACATTCAGCTCATCACTATATAATGCTCAGTTATCCATAACTGTAAAAGATATTTTGTGAATGCAACTTCTAGTACTAAAAATGTCTCAGCTGCAGTTTGATGTCTATTTTGTTTTGCATATATCTACACATGAGATATTCTCTGTATGCACTTACACATTTAAGGACTGGAGAAATGACCCTCCCATTAGTGGAACAAGCTACAAGAACACAATTTGTTTGCAACCATGTCTTGCACTCCATACATGGACCAAATTCAGGTATCATGTACTTGTACAAAATATACTTTTTTTCAGACTTGCCTTTGAATGGTATTCTAAAGCATCCAGCTCACCTTGGTTGAACATACATTTTCTTTTACGTTTCTGCAGAATGAACAATGGGGGAAAAAAAAAGAAATGCGTATTACTCCATAATGAAAGAAAAAAACCACCAAACATACCTGAATTACAAATCAACTCTTTTAAAAGCAGAATAAATTTTCCATCTCTTTTTCTATCACAAGTCCAATAAGCAAAAATATTATCTCAAAATACCTAGGCTGCTGTAGGCATTCTCAAGATACATAGGCTTGAAGCTGTGTTGTGTTACTCAATCTGACGGTAGCTAGTGCATGCCACAGTTCATGTTCATGCCTCCTTTGGGCCCATAGTAGAAGGTACACGTTCAGCTGCCAGGTGCAGTTTACCAGTAATAGGAGAAAATTAACTAGGTCTTCATGATTACATTTGTTGATTTAGACCTGCGACTTTTTTTTTTATTTTTGGTCCATAAGGAACAGCACTAAACAATCGACATATTGAAAGTAAATTTGCACTGTCCTTCCTTCCTTGGTAATCTGCATAACCTTGACAGCTACCAGTTTCAGCTCAAGCACCTGATGACAACCAACATCAAAAGATTTTGCGAGCAACCCACTGCTTTTGAGTCATGGGATGTAAATTACTGATATAAGGGACACAAGAATATCCTCATGAGTGCTTATATTTTCCACGTATCTTGAAAACTATTGTGGAAAAGTTCCTGCTCTCCTACATAACCTCAGGAAACTGAACTGTGTAAGACAATGTTAGTGGTATGTTATTTACCAGGAAGTTCTGCAGTTTACATACCTTCCTAGCACTGGCAACAGAATCTCTGATGCCACTGTTGGTTCCTTTTTGGTGTTCCTCTCTGTTGCTGATGGCCTTTACTTCTGTGAGATTCACCTCAGGGCACCCCTGACACAGCTGCTCCTCAGGAGCTGCAGCTATATGGGGCTTAGAAATGTCAAAGAACTCCTCCCGAAACACGTATCTTTTTTCTGCTGTTTTACCTTCTGTTTCTACCACATCTCCGGGACCAGGAATAGGACCATCTCTCGATGAAGAGGTGGCAGCAAAAGTAGAAGTAGCATGACAATCTCCAGTAGAAGTGACAGACATATTGAGAGTGACATCACCAGGGTATGCAAAAGAGTCACAGATCTGATAGCCACACTGGTTGATGAAAGAGAGATGATCCACGAGCCACCCTGCCGTCAACCGATGTACCACGGACATCACAGCTCCCCTTTCCAGGAAGAGTCAACTCCCTGAAACTGTAGCCAGGAATGGTAACGACTTCTTGAAGCAAACTTCTCCTGTAGGAAATTTTATGAGGTCACTTTTCAGAATTATCATAGTTTAACAAAGCAGCACCCACCTTCTGACAGACATTCCCATGTGCGCGCAGCACACACCACAGAAACTTCTGACTTCAGCTGGCTTCCCCATTACGACTTCTGCTTCATCCCTATTTCACGTTTTTATCGTGAGCAAGTTTTAAATAAGTTTCTGTAACGTTGTTACACAGTATGACACAGAAATTACGTAAACCAAGACTTTACACGGCAGCACTCAGGAACATAACATAAGCCCAGGGGCAGCCGCAAAAACCCCCCCGCCACTCGGCGGGAAGCGCAGCCCGACCGCGCGGCACCTCCGCCACCTTCCCTCGCTGCGGGAGAAGAAAAGCCCC